CTTTTATATATAGGCATGGATAATGTTTGGGGCTGCAGAAGTTGCCAATGTGTTTATGCCACTGAAAGGAGTGAGGCTGATATTTTTCTCCTTGTGTTTGTGTGTGGGTGTATTTTCAGTGTTTTGAGGGCGGTGATGGGAACAAGACACCTCTGGGAAGGACAAAGCGCACTCGTAAAACAACTTTTCCCCAGCAGCCATTTTAGGCCAATTTTAGGTTTGGAGAAGAGGGTTGAAAGATAGGTGGGAGGATTTGCCTTGCAGATATTTCTCACTTCTACTTAAACTCTTAAAAATCCAAACAAAGCAAAAACATTGAGTTGCAATCAGCCTGTAAAATGGCAGTTTTAGGACTATTAGAGATTTCAGATAGGATTTGGTGTCAGTGCTCTCTAAAATATTCTACTCCCATTTTTACTCCTAATTTTGGTGGGAGAAAAATTCATTCTATTTTGTCACCAACATTCAAATGCATCCTCTTTTTTCACTTATTCTTATTTTAAATTGTTTTTTCTTCTGGTTCTTCTACTTGTATTGTTTTATTTCACACAATATTTATTTGTTTATATTTCTAGACTGCCCATCTCCCATAGAATGTACACTCAAAATATTTGTTCAATAAATCATATTAATCATATTTTTAAACAAATGAGATTAAATAATTTGGTGCTATACGCATATGCCCTGGTACTATATGATCAGGAGGTGGTGCTGTAGAAATAATTTTAATGTTGATTTATCTTTTTACTGCAAGAAAAATAGTACCGCTTGTGATCTCTCTTTTTCACACATTGGAAGTGATATACTTCAGTAAATTTGGATAACTGCAACAGAAATAATCCAATCATTACCCTAAAGCAAGAGGCAGTACAAGAATATGAAAAATGTATAGAGTAATACAACTCTAATTCCTGTAACCTTTAATTGGGTGAAATTGTACATCTGTAGGAAGAAAAATCTGGTCTAGTTCCAAGCCGGGAGAAAGGCGCTGGAAATAAAATGGAAGTTGATTGGAAAGAAGGATTCTTGTTTATTGAAGAGCAGAACCACCAACAGCATGCAGTTCTAGGACAGCTGACAAATTGGTTGAATGAATGGGTGGATCTTTATAGATTTCTGTGACTTTGGGATTGTGTAGTGAAGGGGCTTTTGTGTCTATTGCTATTTCAATGGTGGTGGGTTAATCCTATTATGTCCTGAAGGTCAAGTCCTGTCCTTCTCAATCCCATCACCTGGAGTTGAAGGTCTTTTGTTTCTGAATAGATTGGTTTGGATTTCTTAATAGGCACAAAATCTCCATCTCTAAAGACTTCAGGCAGATGCTGGGTGCTGCTTTTTGTCTCTATTAAGATTTTTCTCATTTCTCCTTTGGAGAAATATAATATTCTGCCTTTTTTAATATCCCCCCCAAATATTTCATTATTGTAGTAACAGGGCTTCTCACACACCATAGAGCAAAACCTTTTCAACAAAGGTACTTCAAATGAGTTTTGAAATTTGGCAAATTTTATAAATTATTTTATGGCATAAAATAATCATAACGCAGTTTATGATAATACAAAGTATCATAAAATATTTCCTGTGCGGATGTTTGATTGGGCTATTTTCAAACAGATACATCTCTAAATGTATTCCAGCTGGTTTGGGGAAGGCAGAACAGTAGAAACTTTGTCATTGTTGAAAGCATTGAGGAATCTGGTAAGGAAAAATCTCAGAAACTGTGATCCAAGGTGTTATGGATTGTCTAGTATTCTGATAAAAATAAGCAAATATTCTGCAATAGAATTTAGATTAAAAGGATCTAGGCAAAATATACTTAATTTCAAGATAGTAAAGTGGTTTTCAAAAGATACAATGTTCAATAAACATTAAAGCTCTGAAATTAGAACAAATGCTCCATGGTATCTACATTAAAAAACAACAACACCTGATTGTTATATTAAGAATGGCTATAGGGAACAAATGGTAAACTGTATTAATCTGTGATGTAGAATTCTCCATAAACTGTTCCCCTTCTGAATTTTTTGTAAATGAAAAGGTTTTGATCTAAATTTAGAAATGAAACACAATTCTAACCTCTAAATATTTTCTTTTCCAACAGATTTTAAATGAAGAATGAAAGATGAATCTTCGGCAAAAGTTTAACCTTGCTTCAAGAATGATCAGTCTACTTTCCCTTTGGATTTCATAAACTTTTGCTTGATCTATCTAAGTTGATTTTTATTGATCATATCAAGACAAGAGAAATATTTTGTAGGCTTTCTAATCCTTTCTAGATCTTAAAACCAGCAAGGATTTTGGTGCTGAATGGAAACAATGAACATTTTTAAGAACAAAGAACTGTATGCCCTGGTTGATGGTCATCTTTGGAGAGATCAAAGGAATATCTGTCAAAGATTATGGGAATGACTCTCACAAGATTACATTATCAATTCAATCTAGGGGCCTTGCTGATCTTAATTACTTTATATATACATTGAGCGTAACAATGTGATGACTTTTTCTGATTTTTCTAGATATGTAATGTTAGTTTCAGTTATTTGCAAAAGGAAATGGAGATTTTATGGACATTATCATCTTACATTTGACAGTTGCCACAATCTGCAGTGGCCTACAGTAACCATGTGACCTTAACTTGCTGTTTGTACTGCCTTAAGAGGCATTCTAGGGAGATTTCCTTGGCAATTCAAGTTCTTCCTCTAGCACAGGCAATTTGCAAGTATTGCCATGATGTGTGAGGTAATGCCTACCATTAGTGAGGGTGACCCCTTAGGGCCACAACCAGGCTCTGATTCTGATGCCAACTTTGAACAGCTGATGGTGAACATGCTTGATGAGAGAGATAAACTGCTAGAGACTCTTCGGGAAACACGTGAGACACTGTCTGTGTCTCAGGGCCGACTGCAAGAGACTTTGCATGAACGAGACCAATTGCAGAGACAGTTAAACTCTGCTCTACCTCAGGTAAGAAGATAAATAGACCAGATTTTTGTTAGCTGAAATATAAGCAAGCAGAAGGTCAATACACTAGCAGAGTGCAAGTGTATTGACCTTCTGTGATTTAGCACAGAGAAAATAGCTTTTATACTGTAATCGCTAAACTAAAGGATTAAGACATAAAGACAATACTGTATTAATTGCTTTCTTATTTGTCACCAACGTTTGACAGAGGTAATGCTTGGCTTTGTCATTTAGAATAATTCTCTATCATCACTCTTGAGAAAAGATAGCCTGTCTACCCATGTAAGATGAAGACCATGAAAATGAAAAACCACCTCAAACAGCTGAATGTCCATTAAATTCTCTGAAACGTTATAGACTCAATTTCAATTTAATGGAGAGAGAATAAATATTAGGGCTGTGTAATGCTTTGGTTTCATTTAGGAAGAGATTCTTCGAAAAAATATGCTATCTGTGAGAAATTAAAATACCTGTTGGTTTTCAGGATTGTGCAACTGCAGCTGGAAAAGTTGCTTTAATGAGTCACAGGTAGGTGTTTTATTCACATTCCTAAGCTCTCCAGAGCACTCTTTTGAGTTGAAACCAAACTTGTCCAGCCCTAATAAATATAAATTTATCTAGCTAAGACGACTGAGGTACTCAGTTTAGGATTGCGATGAAAGGCATCATTATTCTCCCCGAAAGGACAGTTAGTATTTTTACAATAGCAGTATAAATGCTTTGATCAGCTGATCCTTGCAAAATATAAACTTAAGTCACTGACATCAATTGATAACTTCACCCATCTGCTATAATATTGACTTTTTCAGGTAGCATTCAAGGATCAACAGTAGTAGTATAAGTCATAAATGGCCTTTACTGCATATTTGTTATAACTGAGATTATCCACTCTACTTCTTCTGGCAACATATTTTATAAAGATTATGTGATGAAAATTAAATCTTAAACCTTGAAAATTTCTCTGATGCCACACATGGAATTAGTTTATTTTATAATTGTTTCTTTTGACAGGTAATTTTAAATGCCCCAGGCTAAAAAAAAGAGCTCTTTAATGTATAACAATTTTGTAATTTAGAATATGATTTCATAGTAAATTTCTAGCATCTATAATTATATAAATTATACTTTATTCCTCCTTAGCATTCTTGAACTGTGTGGTGCCATGTGTACTTGAAGTTACGTAAGCTAGTTTTGCAGCAAGCTGCAGTGCTTACTTATACATTTTTCTGTAGATTGCTGCAGCAGTGTGCTATTTGATGGGTAGCATTGTGGGTATATAAAATAACTTCATGTGAGATGGCTAGTAACATAACACAAGTTCTTACATAATATTCGGTGTAAGAACTATGTGTGAATTTATCTAAGCTTTTAAATCTATCTATGATTTATCTATGAGCTTTTAGACTAGGAGTGGGTAGCTTGCAAACAAGGCAGGACTTTTAGCAAAAGACAATGCAGGTGCCCTTATGATCCAAAGTTGAGAAACAAATAGCAAGAAGTCTGTCACCACGTAAGAGTGGGAGAAAGAGAGACAGAAAATAGAGGCTGGATTCTGTGGAATGTGGTTTGGATTCTGTGGTATATGACGTTTATTATTAGGTCTTTTTATATCTGTAGTAAAAACAACATATCTACCTCATCCTTATCCTTAACTCTTCCACTGTTTGACGTGGCCTGAATGAAGTTCTTACAGAAGGATCAGCTACTCATCTCATCCATGAAGAATGAGAAAAAGCAGCAATACTCCAGAAATAAACCATGGTTATATTGTAAATCTCTTGAAGTGTATATGGGACAAATTTCTAGCATCTTTTTAGTGTCATAATCGTGTGGCAACTGAGAATGATTGGTTGATGAGTAATAAACAGGTGCCACAAGTATGATGGATGGAATTCATTCCCAGTTACAACACACATGCAATCCCGGATCATCTAGCAGCCATAGTGGAAGCGGCATCAGTTCTCAATGGCTGAACAGTTGCTTTTTTGGTTGATGTATGATGAAATCAGGGCAGATTTAGTACTTTCCTTTCTCAATGAATTGTACACCTTTCTTGGACTGATTTAATGTGGGATTTATAATTAACGTTCTGACAGAGGGAGAGGCAACCAATTTACAGCCCTGATGTGAATAACTATGTCAGTTTGTGACACTGTTCAGGGCTATTTTTGATGAATCTTTCAAACAGGTGACTGCCAGTCACAAAAGCAATAACCTAAGACAAGATAAATGCTCAGTGAGATAATATATTGTTGATTTTCAATTGTTAACTCAGATGTGGCTTGGAATTAATGAGGCTTAAATCCCAATTGGAAAGGGTCTGCCAGGAAAAGTACAGGACAAATGCATCCATTACCTCAAAGATTTTGTATGCATTAATACAATTCTACTTGGGGATCAATAAAATACTTGAGGAATTATGACACTATATTGTCAAGAGAAGACATATTCTTTGTGTTCCCTATATTATTTTCTTTGGTTCCATCACTCCCACCTCCTCTCTTTCATCAGTGGTTTTGAATATTGAACTTCCGCAGCTGGGAGACTGGACAACTCTTCTCTGTGAGAAGAGCCAGGTCAATACACACAAGATCTGTGTGTATTATTTGAAGAATCTAGTTACATTTAATGGGACGTGGTGGCTAAGGCACTGAACTTGTCGATCAAAAGGTTCGAATCCCTAGTGCTGCCTAATGGAGTGAGCTCCCGTTACTTGTCCCAGCTTCTGCCAACCTAACAGTTCGAAAGCATGTAAAAATGCAAGTAGAAAAATAGGGACCACCTTTGGTAGGAAGGTAACAATGTTTCATGCACCTTTGGCATTTAGTCATGCCTGCCACATGATCATGGAGACATCTTCAGACAGCGCTGGCTCTTCGGCTTTGAAACGGAGATGAGCACCACCCCCTAGAGTCGGGAACGACTAGCTCTTATGTGCGAGAGGAACCTTTACCTTTAGTTATGTTTCAGAAGAGTGCCCTTCCAAGAGACCACCTCCTACTGAAATGTCAATAAAATATTGTACATTTCGCAATAAACAAACAACCAGATCTGGCTTCTTCAGAAACAAATCAATCCCAATATCTGATGTGATAACATCTGAAAATTAAGTAAAGGTCAGATATGTGAGACTACCCATTGGCATTTAATCATTTGTGTAACCTTTAAGACTTAGACTGCTCAACTGTGAAGCGCCAGAACTTATTTTATTCTGATGCCACCGGCAACTTCATAAAACCTTCAGTCGCATGTAATGTGCAAATCTTGCACATTTAGCCTTGTGAGAATGGAAACTATTCATTCCAATGTTTGTGGTTCAGCTGAAGTCTCATGAACCTTCTCTCTTACTCATCATCTATTATCATCAAGAGTTATTTAACTTTATTTAGTTTTCTTATTACAATTTCTGATAGTTGCAGGAATTGATTGTTATCAAGCTCACAATCCATTTACTGAAATTGGGAAAGCATTACATTGAGTTCCCATACATACAAAACGCATTGCCTCCATAGCTTCATGCCCATTATCTTTGCTCAACACAGCACAGTACAGAAGGAATTTCCCCATATTTTATCCTAAATACTTTGGCCTTGGTCATCTGTGTGAGAATTGGAAGCACAGATTGTACCTCCCCATCAGTTTTGTGGTCTTATTCTTGGGCCTGAGATTCTTGCAAAATATTGCTAATCCATATCAAAACTGAAAGATCCAGCTAGACAACTGTTAAAAAAGCTTCATTTTTTCGGCATCTTTAGCCAACATTCATTTTGTTATTACTGTTGTTAAAAAGAAGGGTTGTTCCTTATTACAGGTTTCTTAATGTTATAAGAATTGTGAGGAGTTTAGAAAGAAACAGGAGCAGCAATAAACAATTAATTGATGGCAAGATTCATTATCTAATCAATGGGAACTCCTTTTCCAACTCTATATCTTTCCTTCGATTTATGTTTTTAAACTCCATATTAAAGTCTCTGGTGTTCTTCTCTAAGGGCTTGACAGCAAATATTACATTGTCCTCCTCATGTATAAATTATTATAATAACTACAGAAAGCATATATTTTTGCTACTGGTAGGTTGGATTCCAAAGGGATTTACAATCTATAGTAATTTAATGAAAGGGATATCACCTTGTCTCCCATGATTCTGAAAAGCCTGACTTTGGACCCAGGCCTGAGGTTAATATTGTTTGAAGTAGTAGTGTTTTGCTTGGTTTTGTATTATTTTTAGATCATTTTAGTCTGGAGTGACATTGTGGTTTTAGGTTTTGCTTGTTTTTATGTATTTGGAGTATTTGGTTTAGTGTTGTACCACCACCCAGAATCCATAGTGTTGGGTGACTATTATAAATTTAAATAAATAAATAAGATTTGGATACAGTAACAAGAAGGAATTATCATATTGGAGAATAAACCTTTAGCAAAAATTGCAAGAATGACAAGTAATAAAGATATACTTATAGAAGAGAATGTACGTAGCTCAGGGTTGAACTGTGGAGTTTTTGATGTTCTTTTGCTTGAAGCATTTTATTACCTGACTAGATAACATCTTCAGTGATATAGCGAGTGGGATTTGATGTGTTTATATACCGTTGCTTGCCTTGTCAGTGTTGGTGGAGGTGTTGTTTACTCTTTGGTAATTCTTTGATTAAACTGTTGTTTACTGCTTGATTGTTTGCCTGAGTTGGTGGTTCCATTATTAGGGTATTATTTACTGCTTAATTTTTTGCCTGGTGTTAAACCTAGTGTTACTTCATGCTTATCTGACTGTTGATTATTTTCAAGGAGGTATTCTGGTCTTTTGGTTCCCCTTTTAGCTTTTTTATTGTCTTCATGGAATGGTAAGTATTATTTATCCCTAGGTGCCTGTTGATGGCTGATTTGCCTGAGTACCAAGCTCCCAGGAATTCCCTACCATTTTTGGATTTAGCTTGATCTAGGAAGTTTTTTCAGATTATATTTGTCATATGTTATGAAATTGAAGGGTTTTCATTGTATCTTCTGAT